GGGTCACATGACTCACATAACTGTATGCATGATGCTTGCCTTAAAATTTAATTGGTGTGGTTCATGTATGAATATTGATCTAATTTTTGACGTTTGTATATGAAGTTTATTTAACAAATATTAATGAACTTGAACTTTAGAAATCGATGGATTTTTAAAAAAAAAAAATCATTTATATTTGTAAGTTAAGACATGCTAGGACATTCCAAGTTATGAAGTCTGACAGACAATGAGATGGAAGGAGTGCTTTGGTTCCCAAGCCTCTTTTTTAGTGTTCTTCCCATTCTTCCTTTCATGTAACATTCCTGTTTGATTGATTAGTAGGTCTCTAAGGTTAACTAATTCCTCATTTTATCGTATTTGTTGTGTTCCTTCAGGTGTATCTTTGCTTCTTAACTTGTCTACATGTTGAACCTTTCATATTATAGGATTCCTCTGCATTTTGTTTCAAGAAAGCTACTGCTTCAAGTCATTGCAAACACAATTAATTCTTACATTCCCTTTGCTTTGATCAAATTGCAAATTAAGTTTTACATTTCAATTGCAATCTTTTCAGATGGACCTTCATGAGGTGGCCCAGAGAATTGAGAACAATAGTCCGCCTGCAGAGATTTTCCGGTCTTTGGTTGAAAGTACGGAATCTTTGCATCATAGTGGAAGTACTGATCAAAGTCTTGTTGATGAACTGTGTAGTGCGGAGGGCCTAGCAAACGTGAGTAGCTGCATTCATAATTTGAGTTTGATATTTCTTTAGGGGGTGATCTCATTTTTTTTCTCCGGACCCACAGTATCCCACTGGATGTGTTGGTGTGATCTCATTTTTATATCCTATTCCTGCAGGAATTCATGCAGATGCTGCGCAGTGATGTTTCCCAGAGATTCCAAGATGACCAGGCCCAATAGGGAACATTTTTTTTTCATTTTACACAATTTGATTTGTTTCCAATAGAATGTTAAGTTGCCGTTTGTTTTGGCCTCAAGTCGACTATTGATTATGGTCTCTTCTTTTTTGGGGTGTCATGGAGGGAAAATTATCATTATTGCTATTCTGGTGTGTATATACGCATGGGATAGTTCATCCAGCGAATGGAACTGTATTTTTTAGTTAATATTGCTAGTTCTGTGTTAGTAACTTATAACGCCTGCAGTACGAGAGTTTAGAACCGGTTGGTTAGACTTGCAGTGGAATTTACCATTCGCTTGTGTGAGGTTTTACTTCAAAAATTCCATTTTGCGATGTAGATTCGATCCTTTCCCTTTATTTGGGGCCTGCTTGCAAATTGGGTAGCCCTCCTCGGTCATTATACAAATCAGGTTTACTGTTGTAGGTTTGGCCGCTAATTGACAATGTTGTGGGGATGCAAAGTTTGTAGCAGAAGAAAATGGACTTGACTAGGTAGTAATCAATTGGTGCATGTGGCAGTGAAGTTGGGACATCGAAATCAAGGGTTTGATGGAATGTCCAGTTCTGAAATAAGTGCAGATTATCTTGTCCTATACGTCGTGATGCAATGACAGTAAATACTATGTCTGCGTATTGGCTTCTCATGGTAAAGTTGACTGTATCTGTTGTAGCTCTTTGTCGCACTCTTTTTCTGAAGTATGATCGAGTTGATGATGCAATGACATGTTGACCGCAAAAGAAAGAAAGAAAGCAGCTAGGCTGTCGATTGTTTGAGAAAACCATCATCCTTTAAAATTGCAATATTTTAGATCGATCTATACTTATTTCAAAATATTTTAAAGGGTCAGGATCTATCAACTTAAAATTTGGGGTTTGAAGATAGTTTCCAATAGCAATCCTCGTCAAAATCAAATTCCACTGCATCCTTTGGTCGAGTAAGTTAAGTTCACAAAAAGGAGTTAATTCTTTAACACCTATTAATGTATCGTACTCTCTCGGTCAGATCATGATTCATGATCATAAGAAAGTATTGAAAATCTTTCCCAAGTGAGAGTCTGTGACAGCGATTTGTCGTGAATGTGCGTTAATTGATGTCACATTGCTGAGGTCCATCACGTTTGTCGGCAGTTTGCTGCAACACAGGGCCCAATCTTCGAGCACATTTTTTGACACCTTATACCTGTCTAATGGGACATCAATCTGATTAGGCGTGTTTCCTATCAATTCTTGCATAGGGGTGTACATGAACCGGGTTGGTTCGGTTTTTATCAAAACCAAACCAAATCAATTATATCGGTTTGGATTGATTTGGTTTTGTCGGGTTTTCAGGGTTTTTTTGTTACATGAATATTATTTCAATCTTACTTTGTTAAAATTATAGATAAAGCTTTGATAAGTGAATATATGTTTAGTAAATATGGAAAAAAATTGACAAACATATGATCTATTAAAATATTCTAATGGGAGAGTTTTTTTAGTAACACATGATAGTTATTTTCGTAGTCGTCTAACAATAGTTTTTTTATTAATTTACACTTTCAAGGTTAATACATGAGAGGATCCCAAATATTTCTACATTTTCTAAAGAAAATTCACTATAAAGCCTTAAAAATATAAATAAAATTTATATATTTATATATTGGTTTGGTTCAGATTTTTTTACTTAATACCAAACCAAGTCATACCAACTTTTTCGGTTTGGTGCGGTTTTTCGGTTCGGTTTGAACACCCCTACTTGCATATGTGGTGAAATGTTCTTTGAAATGGGTTTCCCATTAATCTTTTAGTAATTAGGGGTCGTTTGGTACCTGGGATAAAAATAATAATCCCGTGATAAAGTTTGGGATTAACTTTATCCCATGTTTGTTTTGAGGTATTAGCTAATTCCATGATAACTTTTACACTAAAAGAGTGTGATTAGTTATCCCATATATAAGGTAGGATAACTAATCCCATGAGATATTCCACCATTATACCAAACCACTTCATAAAAGTTATAAGTTTTACGTTGTTATCTTTTAGTCAATTTTGAAATAGAAGTTCAAGTGGAAATTAAAGTGCAATCTTATAAACAACCAGGCACAAGAGTTAGAGGGGGTTTGTTATTTTTCTTAAATCTTACTTCGTCATAAATTTTCATTTTTCTTTCTTGAACTGAATCCGATATTATATGCAATTTCCATGGAAAACCTATTTTGCCATGTAGAGCGAATACTTGAATCTTTATATTTACCCCGTCGTTCACCTTCTTGCTCTCGTTTCCCCCTATACTACCCATAAAAATTAAAAAAAAAAAAGAACAACGAATTTGAAACATACTCTTTGCCAAGAAGCCAAACAATCTTAAGAAAGGGTGCGTTTGGCAACCTAATAGCTTTGACCAAGATTTTATATTGGTGCTAAGAATTTATTTAATACAGATAGTTTATCTATCTAGAAGCCAGTAAGACGCCTTTTTTATAATCCACAACCTTACTCAAAATTAGGGTTCGTTTCTGCATATGACGTATATTGGTTTTGATTACTTCTTGTAGCAGATAGGATTTGCATCAAATTTATCCAAGATGACCTCTTTAATTCGGATTAATTAGGAACGAGGTTGAAAAGTCAAATCTCATTTTTGTCAAAAGAATTATTAAAAAGCAACAGTAAATTCGTTTTCGTTAAAATCCACAACAAGAGTGACCGTAATTTATCCAATGACTCCCTTTCGCTCCTTCCTCCATTATGTGGAAAAAGATACTATTAAAATATGTTTAAGACTTTTAATGTAATACTAGGTAAAAACTTATCCGTACTAGGTGTTTACACGCAATGTAGTTAAGTTAACCATGTAAGATAAGCTAAGGTCTATTAAAAATTTTATTTAAAATAAGTAAATAAAAATTAAAAAAGGAAGTAAGTCATAACATTACTTCAGAAAAACTTAAGGTTGCCGTAAACTTCCTTGTTCTTCTTTCTTTTATTCCTAATCTTCTTCAAGTGTTTGGCTAAATTTCAAAGTACTGATTATTTCTGATCTTCTTCGAGCGTAAAGCATAATTCCAAAACAACAATATATGTAGTTGGGAATTAGATTAAGAGCCAAGCCATTAAGGTTTCCGTTCTTTTACTAGTATGTTGCTCAATTAGTTGCTCGTATATATGTTGCTCAATTAGTCTTGCACTCTTAGACTTGGGAAGCATAGATTATGATAGTAATTTGTACTTTTTTATTACTAAGTTAGATTCGACGCAAAATAATAAATGGTGTTCAATGTTGAAATTGATGGTATGACTTTGTATAATTTTAAATCTCTTGCGGGAAATAATGTTGTCAAGAAATAGAGTTGAGAGACAAAGTAATTTTTGCATAATTTTTGTGAAATTTGGGAATAAATTATTTGGTAATGGCCTGTGATACCATAAAAACAATAGACTATATATTAAATTTTTTAATATTAGTATTATTTAAGATCATGTGTTAACTATAGTTAAGTATTAATAATCATAGTTAAAGATAATGACATATGTCATTTGCTTATTGGTTGGGTGTAAACACCCGGTGCGAGTAAGTTTTTTCCTTAAAGGTAAAAATTCTGACTACGCCTCTGCTTATGCTCTGCATCAAAAAAGTGTTGGGTACCGGTCTAAATCTGTCTCTTGACAATATGATAGGATAAATAAAAATTTATCTTATCACATGTTTACACCGGATCAATAAATACATGATATGTGCTTGAATATGGACTTCTCTAATTTAAACATACGTTAATTAAAATATATTTTCAGCTCATTAAATTATTTAATTACAATTTATATTAGTTGACGTAAACACTCAATATGAATAAATATTTAGGTATTGTAATAGGATGTGTGTAATGTGTTATTGAGATGTATTGTAATGGGTGAGTTCATACTCACATGTTTGACTTGATTTAATTCCTACAACCACCTTTTTAGATAAAATAGTTTTTAAACACATCATCGGGAGATGATAAAATAAATTTTAATTTTGATTAGAATCTTGATTAGAATTCATTTACATTAGTCAGAGATCTCGAATTCAAATTTTAAGATAGAAGCTTAGATAGCAAATGTTTTAAACTTATCCGATACAAATTTAAATTAGTCAGACTAATGAGATTTGAATATCGAATGTTATATCGAGAAAAA